TGAAAGAGGCTCAAAAAGATTTCCTGCCGTCAACTTCAAAGAATAAATATAACAGTGTCTACACAACATTCAAGACCTGGGCCAAATCAAAAAGGTGACGACTATTACAGAAAATGTTATGTTAGCATATTTGATAGAATTATCTGAAAAGTATAAACCACCAACGGTATGGTCAACATACTCCATGTTAAAATCTACTCTAAAAAACAATGACAATGTTAACATTGCAAGCTTTATGAAAGTTACAAGTTTTCTGAAAAGAAACTCAGATGGTTACAAATCAAAAAAATCGAAGACGTTATCTCCCGAAAATGTTAACATGTTTCTGTCCGAAGCTCCGGATGACATATTTTTGGCTACAAAAGTAAGTAAAAATATATATATCTATAAAAAAGAAAATAAGATAGAAACAAAATAAAACAAAAATTTATATAATCAATAATTATATATAAAAAAAAGTTTAATAAAAATATGTATAATAATTAATAATGCGTGCAAAAATAATTTCATAACTGCACAACAAATCAACAAATTTATTAATTTAATAAATAAAGTTACACGTTAAATAAATAATTGATAAATATAATAATATAAAAATAAATACTTAAAAATAATCATTTCAAAAAAATCATGCATATCATTGTTAAAATCTATAAAATAAAATGCAAATATTTATTTATAAATAAGTACAATATATATTAAAAAGTATAACAATAACAAAAAAATTATAAATTAATTAATTAAATTTTATAAAGTTAAAAATCAATAATACATTAAAAAAATATTAATTAAAAATAATGATTGCTAAAAATGCATGCATATGATTGTAAAATATATAAAATAAAATAAATAACCTTCTATAAATAAATAAAATATATTAAGAAATGCTTTAATAATAAACAAATAAAACAAAAACTACCAATTATATAATAAAAGCTAATTAAAAATTGAAATATTTTTTAGGTTGCTTTAATTTTCGGCATAAGTGGTGCTTGCAGAAGGGAAGAATTATCAAAAATAAAAATGGAAGATGTTCTTCATGAAGGCAATCTGCTTTTAATAAAAATACCAAATACAAAAACCAAAACACCACGATCATTTACTGTGGAAGGAGAATTTCGAGAAATTGTGTCAAAGTACGAATCTCTAAGACCAAAAAATGCTAATTCGAATAAATTTTTCCTTAACTTTCAAAAAGGAAAGTGCACCACCCAAGTTATTGGGAAAAATAAATTCGGTAAAATGCCGAGTGAAATTGCCAAATATTTAGATCTCGAAAATCCTGAATTATATACCGGACATAGCTTTCGAAGGACATCTGCTACATTACTAGCCGATTCTGGTGCGGACATAATCGCTCTTAAACGTCTCGGAGGTTGGAAAACTTCAGCCGTAGCGGAAGGTAAAATTTCATTTTTATTTAAATTAAAATTTGTTTTTCTAGTATTTGACATTTTATTAAAATCCTCCCTATAACTTTTAACGAAACTTTGTTTTCCTATATTTAAAAATTGTTTAAAAATAACTAATTTATATAATAATAAATAAATAAAAATGAACTAATATTCTAAAAAATAAATATATTTCTAGGTTACATTGAAGAATCAACAACATACAAGAGAAAAATTGGAAATCAAATTGAAGCCTCAGTGAATTTAGCCTCATCAAGTGGTTCAAAGCAGATCAAGGAAATTCCATCGAATGAGTCAAATAATAAAAAATCAAATAAACGAAAAATTATCCACGAAATTGCATCAGATATTGACTCTATTTCAACTGCAGCTAGCTCATCAGGGCAAAACACATCAAACAAAGTTCGGAAAACCAATGACATTCATTATTCATCACAAATTAATAATTCTCAAGAATCAAACAATCAATCAATTACATATAACATATCGCACTGCACATTCAACATCTACAAATAAATAATTTGACATTCACACATCTGTATCTTTTGCTCATATTTTCATTATTTTTTATCTCGCCTCGTTAAGTTTTTGTTTCAAAAAACAACAAATATGTATAAAATTTAATTTTTTCTTAACGAAAGTTTATGAATTTTGTTAAACTACAAAACATACCATTCAATGTGTGACATTTAAGTATTGTTTAAAATATTTTCAAAATAAAAATTTTGGTTCAATTTAAGATGTATTTAAAATATTCTTAAAAAACATATAGCCCCATGCTTGTTTCCTTTAAATCTCTTTTTTAACTTTTTATATACAGTTTGTGTCTAAAATGAAATGCTTTTTGTCCAGGTAGGACAAGAAAGTTTGTTCACACCTCGGACGCAAAAAATAATTGAAGCGAGGGCAAGATTAGGTAAATCGAAAAAATCATTAAAAAGAATTCACTGCTCGTGCCCTCAATGACATACTTTCCATGCAGTTAGGACAAAAAATTATGTTAGCATCATGGGCGCAAAGGTGATTACGACTCTGGCGAAATTTCGGGACCTCGGGACACAATTTCGCTCCCTCGGCTTCGCCTCGGGCGCGAAATTGTGTCCCCTCGGTCCCTTCATTTCGCCATCGTCGCAATCACCTGTTTTGCGCCCTTGATACGAAAATAACTATTCTTAAAAAGTAGCTCAGTAATTTCTGAGCCTAAATACTCTTCTCCTAGAATGGAAAGAATGTCGTCGAATTCCTTTTGTTGAGCTCTATTTAATTTTCTGGTCTCCTTTGTCGTCTCCTGCGTTCTCAGGTTGGCGATGGATCCTCGGCGTTGGTCAACTTCTTCGCACATTCGCTGTGCATTTGGTCCAATTTTTAAATTTAATACTTCTACTTTAATACTTACTCAGAAAATTTTAGGACGATCCGTTGAATATTCCCCAAGTTACATTCAAGTTTGTGAACATGGAATATCCTGCTCACCACAAGATGCCTCGCTTCGGAGGAACTCCCGCAAATTCTTTACAGAAGTTTTACAAAAAATTATGTTCATAAATAAAATATGTCAAAATAAAGTTCAAAGTACTCGTTATATGTGAATTAATTTTTAAACTAAAATACTCAATGGCTTCCTTAGAAAAAATTCCTAAAATACCAATTTTTTTCGGCTGTCTAATCGGATGTAAACCCTTAAAAAAATAACAGACTTGTCTAAACCATTCAATCAAAGAAAAATTGTTAGGGACCCCAAACAGCAACGGATAATCCTCAATATTTCTAGAATACAAGCTTCCTATTAATTAATTTCCCCAGCTCGTAATATATTTATTTCGAGTCTAATTACTTTCATTTAATTTGTTTTGCAAATAAATTATAAACGCTAGAATGTTAATTATTTTAAAGTCTGAATTAAGCTTGTTAGCGGCAGCTTTTCAGACAGGATCCACTGAGAAACAGACATTTGAGAGGTGTATTCAGAGAACGTAATCGTGAATGTACTGTTTAACAATGTCGATTCAAGTCCTCCATTCTCGTCTCAGATAGGTTGCATAGAAATCCTTTGACAATAAGGCAAAGTGCAGGCAAAAGGAGACACGATGTTCTCTCCTGGGTGTCTTCTTGAATCTGCGTGAGGGGGATTGAGCTTAATGGGAACACTAATGATGTACTAGAAAAAGAATATCAAAATTACTGCGCGAATATCTTCTTGAATTTCAATATTAAAAAAGTACGTCACACATTTATAATAAAAATAATATTCAATTCTTCAACAAAATATTCAGTTTTATAATAAATAAAAAAGTATTGATTTAAACCTGAATTTACGATGAGGGTTTTTTAAGCATTTAATCCTTTCGTGAATATAGTCATGAATAGTCTGAAATGCAAGAATAAAATGTCTAGTAATACAGTTTAATACTTTTCGAATAATCGTGGTCCTTAGAGTGGAAAATAATCTTCATTGTCATGCGTAGAACTAATTCTGACAATTATTTACCAATTATCTGAAAATTTGTCCGAATTCTCTTGACAGTTTAGATATTCAAAGGAAGTCAATTGACTATAAAGTAAGGGGTAAAGGGCTTGTCTAGTGAATATCCATATATATAGGACCCCTACTGGCATGAACTTCAGAAGGATCGTCCATATTATTCAACTGATTACATGCAATATTCCACATGGTTGGAAACAGACAATCTTCAAGCGTCTGTTCTATGTGAAACATTTGCAAAAACATGATATTTACATTTTTTAATTCTTTTTAAATTATGAATATGTTCTGACAAATATTTTTAGGTATTGTGGCATAAAAACATCAATACCAGCGATAATCCGTTTTAGGGAAATTTCCCGGCGTCAGGTAACTAGCCGGATCACGATGAAAATAATAAAATAAGAACTTTCTCGGATTAGCTCATAACCGAGCTCACTGTTTTATCTTTACGAAATTTATTATTTACCAAAACCCAAACTAGCGTCGAGTACGAATATTATACATGATACATGATAAATATTACAGATTACAAAGTGAAGAACACGTGTTTTTTTCTTAAATATTCTTCATCATTCTTAATAATATTCTTAATATTTGGGATGATAAAAAGTGAAAAGTGGCAAAACAATAAAAAAATACATATAAAATATCATAGGTGATCAGAAGTGAAAAAAGTTTTGTGATTAAAATAAGGATAAGGAGGATATAGGTCCGTCATCATATAATTCCAACCATTCGCGATGGTCATCATGGACTCCTTTGAATAATGATGAAATTTTGAACTCCATTGAAACTCGATATTTAATTCCGGTTTGAAGCCTGTAATAGGATTTTCAGACCATTAAGGAATATAAGATATTCCATTGTTAGATCATCTGATCGTTTATTTATTTGTGTTAAAAGCATTTCTATTGCTATGATCAAAGAAGCATTTACGATAAACAAGACTTTGCAGATTCAAAATGTAATACCATTTTGAATTTGTATTACAAATTGTGTCTTAATTCTTTTTAGAATATAAATAACGACTAACATTTTGTGTAATATTGCAATAATTCATCACTCCACTTTTGATGAGGTTATTAAAAGAGAACTTTTTAAACTACAATTCGTATGATTTTTATTCAGAAATTTCAACTATTGACATACAATATATATAATTATATCTATACTTTATTTATATTACTGGAAATTAATATTGAGAAATGTTATCGCATTCATGCATATTTACAAAAAATGATAAATTTTAATCATCACATTTACTCTTCTCTTTCATACACATACACAAACATAGAATATCAATAAAATACTAAAATTAAAAATTAAAAAAATTAACTCGCTCGTACAAGAACTGGTTTTACTTTATTGGAAACTCCATCTCCTTCAATTTTCACTGGCTTTATCACTGCTTTGCGAATATTGACCCTTTGCTCCGCGACCTGAAAATTAAATCACTTATTTTTCATACATCCTTTAATGGAAGATTTTCATAAATATTAATAACGTAATTTAATTTTGGTAATTGAAAATTAGTGAAAATGATAATTACAGTGTGGGAAAAAATTTAATCCTCCACTGAATTCACAAAATTACTGTTATTAATTATTAATTTCTTTCATAATGAAACGATTCAAAGTATGCTCCAGAATATATTTTCCGTTTTGATTGAATTTTTATAATTAATATTCTTTAGAATTAAAATTATATTACCTCCTCATCTTCGATTTCAATTTCCTTGAGAATTTCATCTAATACAGTGAGTAAATGATCAACATTTTCGTTATTAAAAACCAATGGTGGTTTAATTTTTAAAATATTAACATCGGGACCATCGCTGCTGATGAGAATTTTTTCCTCCTTCAGTCTCATTACTATTCGCTTAGCCTCAGCAGTTGCTGGTGTCCTTTTCACTCTGTCCTTAACTAATTCAATTCCCACGAATAATCCCGCTCCACGAACATCACCAATAATAGGATGACGTTTTTGCAGTTTCTTCAGTTCTTGAAGAAGATAATTGCCCACCGCCAGTGCACGCTTCTGAAGATTTTCCTTTTCAATCACGTCCATTACTGCATTGGCAATTGCACACGAAACTGGATTCCCTCCATACTGGAAATTCAGTTTAAAAAGAGAATTATTAATAATAAATTTTTGTATTTTTGTGACGATGTGAATCGTCACCTCATCTGTCGGAATTGTCCCTAAAGCGTGATCGTTAATTAGTAGGATAAGTCAGAAGCCAGAGTTGCCGAGTGACCTACAAGTCACAGTGTGTTAGCCAGCAAAGTAGGAGTCAAGAAAGTGACAATAAAAACTTATTAAATATCAGTAGAAGAAAAATTGTTGGTGTAATTAAAGACTGACAACAGAAAGAAAGATTTCATCGTCGTGAGTAAGTCAGTGCCAGTATTGTGCCAGTCGCGTCTCGTCGTTGGCATTTCTGCTTTCCAAATTGTTCAGGCAGAATTTCCTCTGAAGAAAAAGAAAATCTTGAAGTTCTCTTGAGTGTATTGGGTCAGAGTACGGTTTATTAATTTGGTATTGAAAATTAATTGGCGCCTGACGAAGAAATTTGTTTATTTAAATTTATAAATTTTGTTTATGTTGAAAGCGTCAGATTTTGTTTGACGTTAAGCAGAACTCTTTTTTCGAAATTAGAATATCAAGATTTTTTTACAATTTAATTAAATTCAGGACACTAACAAAAATGACTGTGTTTACAAAATTAATCAAATTATTAAATTAAAATTATTTTACAAAATGCCTGCGGCCTTGTATCAGCTGGATTTGAAATCTCCCTAATTTGGATGCGCGGTCATTTCAGAATCAAAGGAAATGAGACAGCCGATGCTTTTGTTCAAATAGAAGTAGAAACATCAATGATGGTCGAAAACCACCTCTAGGCATCATGCCAAGTACTTGTTAAAGGTGATGTAGAACATTGCACCCAGAGAAAGCACTAGAACTAGTCAACTGGAAATTGGAGTGAGAAAACAACAAAACGTTCTGTTGAAATTAAGACTCAGCAAGATCATCGTTTAAAACTTTAATGAATTTAAAACTATCATTTCAATCAGCGTCCGAATGCTTCTAAATTATATTTGGAAAAATTGGAGAAAAAAAGTACAGCACTCAATTGGGAATTGTATTCAGAAAAATAAATTCGCGACCGATGAATAATTAGTGATTTGCAGAAATAGAGTAAATTTTACCTCTAAGAGGAATTTAATTGCGAAATACAAAAATTTTGTCACTCAGTTGAACGTTTTTTTTAAATCACCAAGATTTGGAATTTAATATCAAAATTCATCTGACTTTACCGTGTTAAAATATTCAATTCCAGTATCAGCGAAACTTCGAGCAATTTCCCTTGTAGTGATTACTGCTGCAACGGGATGTCCGTTACCCATGGGTTTTCCGACAGTGACTATATCTGGAATTATGTCTTCACCATAAAGCTGGAAAGCCCACATATGAGTTCCAACCCTCCCGAATCCAACTTGCACTTCATCAGCAATGCAAACGCCACCAGCTTCTCGAACATGTCTAAAAAAAGATGAATGCTTCAATTGAAATTCCATCTTCATTGTTAAATTTCGCCTAGACACTTATTATCCATTTTACAATAAAAAAACTATTCTTTCAATAAACAACAAAATCTTTAATTTTCGATCAAAAACTATTTCTCAAAATCTTTTCAGTTTCAATATTTAATAAATATAATCAGTGTTTATTTATTCTCTTTAGAAAATCTTCCGCGTACAATATTTAGCAAATAGAAACATTCTTATCATTCCGTGAAATGTAAACATTTGTTTAAATTTCCTTTCTGAGATAATTCTTTTAAAAATACAAATCAATGTGTATTTATAAAAAATTATTTTAGATAGATCATTTCAATTTTTTTTTATTTAGAAAAAATTTTCTCTTTCAGAAGAGAAAAGTTTTATCTGAGTCACTGTAAATGGAATGAATGGTTTTCAAGTTACCTGTAGACGTTTCTATAGTAATTTTTAGGTGGTAGAATTTGTCCACCGACGGACATAAGACTCTCGGCAATGAAAGCTGAAATCCCTCGTCCTTTTTCTTTCACATCCTTACAAATTTTTCTCACGTCATTCGCGTACTTCAGACCAAGATCCTCGCCAGGATAGTCGACGTCACGATATTTTCCACGGTATACATCTGGACATGGTGCCTGTCAAGTGATAAAAATAAAATTTTGTTTATAAAAAATAGACCATGAAATTATTTAACTAAAATTACAAATGAAGACATTGACTTTATTAGCAATTAGCAAAATCTACTGTATGACTTTTAAACTATTTGGTTTAGAGTTAGGTTTTTATTATAACATTAATTAATTATTATAATCATTTCTACTACTGTTGGGGAAATTTGTTCTTTGATTCTATAAAGGAAAAGAAGAAATTATATGGTAAAGTTAGTCTCTAGGGCAAGTTTCATTCATTAAATAAAATCCCTTCTTTAATAGATTCGTACGGTAGAAAGTGCATTGAGAGAATGCGATGCTACGTGGCGCGCGCCTGACTTTTATAGTCAGAAGAGAGGGGGGGAGCGTCTTCTCAGAAAATTGGTCGTTGGAGGGGCTGCGCATGCGCTCAGTACGCGGCGTCTTCAATCCAAGCCAGGACCGTACAAAAATATTATAGTGCCCTTACCATAAAATTTAATTCTTAAGAAAACAAATAAACTTCACTCACCACGTGAATGTGATCTTTTTTTCCAATTCCCTTCGGTTGATTGAACTTGTACGGTGAGATGTCAATCATGGATGTTAAATGTCCATGGTAAGCACTAGAATCAAAGTAATAAATAATTTAGCAAGTACCTTAAAAATCTTCACTATTTTTACAAAATAGAACAATTAGAATTTGTTTCCTTCTTTTTTTTTGCTACTATCACCACTTCTCGATGTGACTGTAACGGAAACGTTTATATAAAAATAGAAACCGAAATGTTTTGCAGGCCAGCAACAAAATCCGCTGTAAAATATTTCAATGTCCATTTTCCTTGCGAGTCAAGAATTAAAAAATTATATACAGCGATTTTTTTTGTAATAGTCGAAATATTTTTTTCGCTGCTAATTTTTTTTTGTGTTAATTAAACATTTTTTCAGATGAAAAATAGTGTTTTGTTAATTTTCTTTCATTCTTGCCTCCAAAAGACATTCAGGATACAAAAAAATTAAAGCATTACGAAAATTTCTAAAGTAACAAATTTCTACTTACAGCTTCTAATTGCAATCAATGATAGCATGAAAAATATTATTAGAAAAATAAGGGAATTTCCTAAATCAAAATTAGTGAGTTGTGAATGTTTGGAAATTTGTTTGTGATTTACTTTAAAAATAATTTTTCGCATTATTCGATTTTTTAGAAATTATTTTATAAATTAAAGAAAAAGAGATTCTCACTTTTCACTAATTAAGATTTTTTTTTAAGGTGAGTTTTTTGGAAATTAATCTGCCTTATTCTGGAGTTAATGAGATGTTGATTTTTTTTGGACAAGCACTCATCCGAGGTTAGAGTAATGAGGCAGAATTCTAACACGCACAAGAAACAAATTTTTTTTTTCATTTGCCTTTAGCATAAATCTTCCATGTGTCACCTAAAATGACAAGAGTGTTATTGCAGGACCCAAATTTGTTCTTGATGATAGCTTCCACATTGAATTTGGCACTTGGCAATCTTCTTGACAATTTTCTCTCATGCTGTAAACAAGCAAAACACAAACCCACACGATTAGTTAAGTTTCGTTCAAAAAAATGTTCGCTTGAAAAATCTGAAAATTCATTTTCACAATCACAATTTAAACCTCCACACTCGAAATCTCAGAAATATTTCTTTTTTCCAAAAAAAAAACATTTTTTGGAGATGCAAAACTGAGTATCAATTTTTTACTGTCAGAAAAATTTATTAATTTTTTAAAATAAATTTTATTTATTTAAAACTGTAAACAATTAATATTTTCAATTACTCAGCAATGCTAAACTTCTGAAGAAAGCGATGTGAATATCAGTCATACTTTTAATTACTAAATTAAAATATTTTTTCGATTTAATAAATTTTTTACTGGAATCAATAACCAGGTAATATTTAATTACAAATTCGTTAATTCAAACGATATCGAGAAATATTTAATCAAACTAAAATTAAATTATACCTGAAATGTAAATTCAGAAGATATATTATATAAAATAAAATTATTAAAAATTAAATAAAATAAATATTTAACAACAACTGATTGGAAATTTTAATTAATAATAAAATTCAATTCAAATTTATTTTCGTGGAAAAATAAATATCACGATTTTTAATTAGAATTAACTGGTTTTTTGTTCTTTGTTGACTTTTAAAAGTTCGACATTTCCCTCTTTCTGAAACTAATTAAAAAATAATTACAAACAAGTAATTTAATATTAACTAACATGTAAAATTAAATACAAAACTCAAACAATTCTACTTTTTTACTCAAACAATTTTATTTTAAAAAATCCAGAGTTTTTAATTTATTTCAAACAAATTATTTTACTAATAAAAAAAATTTTTTGTTGTTTCTTTTATGTATAATTCAATAAAATATTTATGAGTTTAAAATATCTGAAATAGATTACTTACAAAAAAAAAATTTCACAATAGTGAAAAATTAGTGTAAAAAATGACAAAAAATAGAATTTTGTTTTTTGATAAAATTTAATGGAATTGTTTGAAAGGCATTAATCAATTTATGCCGAACAATTAAAAGCAACAAAAAAATGATAATAAGATTAAATATTATCAGACACGACTGATAAATTGAAAAAAAAAGTCTTTTGTTTGAGACTTACTGGTCTAAGACAATAATGTCCTTATTTCCATTGTGTGTGTGTGCAAGTCGAAGGGCCAAATCATTAGCTTCACTTCCTGAATTGACGAGATAGCAAACAGACAGCTGTTCTGGAAGAGATGATGTCAATCTTTTGGCACAAATTACTAAATCATCATGTAGAAAACGATTATTTGTGGACAATAAGGCCATTTGTTTTTGTCCCGCCTCCACCACATCAGGATGGCAATGGCCAACTGAAAATTTACAAAAAGAAAACAATTATTTATAAAAACTTCGAAAAATTCCAATTTAATAGTTTTTCATTTTCTCTATTATATGTTTTCATTTTCTATTATGTATTCTTTTCACTTTCACTTTCACTTTCGTAGATTTTCATTTTTTCTTTCTGAAAGTGAAAACGAAAGTGAAAGTTTTATTGTAGATTTTAATTTTCTCTTCGACATATTTTTTCATTTTTTCATTTTCTGTAAGTGAAAATAAAAGTGAATTTTTTTCGTGACTTTTCATTTTCTCTTTCTGAAAGTTTAAATGAAAGAGAAAGTTTTTTCGTAGAATTAGAATTTTTTCTCTTTGACGTATTTTCTTATTTCTTCATTTTCTGTAAGTGAAAATGAAAGTGAAAGTTATTTCGTAGATTTTAATTTTCTCTTTGACATATTTTCTAATTTCTTCATTTTCTGTAAGTGAAAATGAAAGTGAATCTTTTTTTGTGAATTTTTATTTTTGCTTTCTGAAAGTGAAAGTTTCTTCGTAGATTTTCATTTTCACTTTGACATATTTTCTCATTTCTTCATTTTCTGTAAGTAAAAAATGAAAGTGAAAGTTATTTCGTAGATTTTCATTTTCTCATTCTGAAAGTGAAAACGATTTTAATTTTCTCTTTGACATATTTTCTAATTTCTTTATTTTCTGTAATGAAAATGAAAGTGAATCTTTTTTCGTGAATTTTGATTTTCTCTTTCTGAAAGTGAAATCAAAAGTGAAAGTTTTTCGTAGATTTTCATTTTCACTTTGATATATTTTTTTCTGTAAGTAAAAATGAAAGTGAAAGTCAAAATGAAATTTCATAATTTCCGACAAAAAAAATTATTGATAAGTAAAAGGGGTGCAATTTTATAATTTCATTTTAACTTTTAGTTCCATATTGATATTTAAAAGTGAAAGTGAAAGCGAAAATAAATATCTGTCAAAGAGAAAGTAAAAATCAAAATGAAAATGATAAAAAGTAAAAATGAAAGTCTAAATAAATATTTATTATAGAAAAAGTAAGAATGAAAATCTCTTAAAGTGAAAATGAAAACAAAAATGAATATTCGTCAAAGTTAAAGTGGAAATAAAAATTTATGAAAGTGAAAACAGAAACTAAAATGAAGATCTTTCATAGAAAAAGTGGAAACTAAATTGAAAATGAACATTTTTCTTTGTGGAAATAAAAAAACTACTAAAAAGTGAAAAATAAAATGAAATTTTCGTGAAAATGAAAGTAAAAGTATTAATGAATATGAAAATGAATATCTGCGAATGTGAAAGTCAAAATCAAAATATTTGTAAGTGAAAATGAAAACAAAAATTTATATTTGCCAAAAAAGTAAAGATTCTTTTCTTTTTCATTTGTTCTTTTTGAATCTTTAAAACGAAATTGAATATCAGTAAAAGTGAACCTTAAAATCATACAAAGTAAAAACGAAAGTGAAAGTGAAAATTTATATTTTCAAAAAAAGTAAAGATTCTTTACTTTTTCATTTATTCTTTTTAAATCTTTAAAACGAAACTGAATATCAGTCAAAATGAGAGTAAAAGTGTAATTGAAAATCATAAAAGGTAAAAATGAAAGTGAAAATAAAATTGAAAATTTATATTTGCCAAAAAAAAGTAAATATTCTTTACTTTTTTATTTATTCTTTTTAAATCTTAAAAAGAAAATTGAATATTCGTGAAAATGAAAGTAAAAGTGAAATTGAAAATCATAAAAAGTAAAAATGAGAGTAAAAGTGAAATTGAAAATCATAAAAAATAAAAATGAAAGTGAAAATGAATATTCATCACAGAGAGTTAACATGAAAATCTTAAAATTAAAAAATGAAAACAAAAATTGATGTTTGTCAAAGAGAAAGTAAAAGTGCAACTTTTTAAAATCGAAACTGTATCTGTCGAAGTGAAAATGAAAATGAAATCGAAAGTAAACAACTACTTATCAAAAAGAAAATGAAATTTCAAAGAAGAAAAACTAAGAATAAAAATTTACATCAGTCAAAGAATAAATGCTTTTAGTTACACTTTCATTTTCACTTTAAAAGCCTTTCGTTAAAAATGAAAGTGTAAATTAAAATGAAAGTGTAAATGAAAATGTAAGCGGAAGTGTAAATGAAAATGTAAATGAAAGTGTAAATGAAAATTTGAATGAAATTACAAATAAAAGTGCAAATTAAAATGTAAATAAAAGTGCAAAGGAAAATGTGTAAAATGTAAAATTGTGTAAATGTAATTGTGTAAAAGTGTAAATGTGTAAAATTAAAGTGTAAATGAAAATTTAATTGAAAGTATAAATAAATTAAAAATAAAAATTAAACTAAATGTCATTTACTATAAAAGAGTATTTGCAGTAAAAAAAATATCTTCTAAAAAGGAAAATTACTATTAACATAATGTAAATTTCCTTCCTATCTATCATTGTTTAATGAATTTAATCGCTACTGGTATTATTAGTTTAGCAAATAATGACGCTTGCTTTGTATATTCCGTCTTTGTATTCCACTTTGACCTAATGCAATAATTGATAATGACCAATAATAATAAATACAAATAAAGTAAATAAATAGAAATAAATAAAAATAAATAAATTTTCAGTTCAAAAACACATTCTTATCATCAAATTCATAGTTTCCTGCTTTTTTCCCCCTTTTTTTTATCAAAAAGAACATTAAAGCTAATATTTTGCAACAAATTATTACGGTAGCAATATTTTTTTCTTGATATCTACATCTATATTAAAAAATTTCATATTAAATTCTGTAGGTTGCGACCTTTAAAAATAAAAAAAAAATGTATTATAGATAAGTGCCTAGTAATATTAGGGCAAATGTGTGCCTATTAAATGTAGTTAAAAGCAACTGGGGCACTGGCGATAATGTCTAAAGGAAACAAGTTGATTGTTCAAATTGATATTCAGGAATTCAACGCCACATTGCTTTTGTATTTATGGTAATAATGATCCTTTTAATCTCAAACGTTAAATTTACATTTGAAAATATTGTCAACGCACGTGTTACTACTACTTGACACGTGATTCTAATGTCACGTGAAGGACTTTTAGTTCTAATTTATAATTTGCTTATAGAATATAATTGTGCAGTAGAGATAGTAATATTTTTTATCCATATTTTTTTATCAAATAGCAAAATAAAGCGTCAAAAAAAGTTTGTTTTTCTTATTACTTATTTTTAAATTTAACATAAAATTTTTCTATTTTATTTGTCGAGATAAAATACTATTAAAAAAAATTTATTCTTTTAACTTACTCTAAAAAAAATTTATTTTCTTTCAAATTACTCATGAAAAAAAAAAATTATTTTCTTTTACAGGAAAAAAAAAATAAAACATTTTCCACTAGATTAAACATTAAAATACATACCGTGGGCAACATTGTTGATGCAGTCGAGATGACGTTCGCCTTTTTCATCGTATAAATATTGCCCCTCACCCTTAACAATCTTCAAGGGATTGGATCGATAAAAAAGTGTACACGATTCTCTGAAAGCAATGCAAAAAGAACAAATAAAAAAATGTGAAAATTAAATTAAAAAAATGTAAATCAATAAAAAACAAAAAAGAAAAACAAATATTTGGGGGAAATTTTTTTCAAAGCACGAAAAAATTCTAAATATCGACAGTAGAGAAAATTTCTTTTTTCTTTTTTTATAAAACTAGATTAAATCTTCTCCTTTTTTTCCCCCAAGGCAATTTGTAAAGCAAACAAGCATTTCATGCGTTATACTGTTATCGGGTTTCGGGTTGAAAATACTGTTGCATCATTTGTCGCATCATCAAGTTTTTTTTCAGCGATATAAAAAAATACAATCTGTTTGGAAACGTTGATTAAATCTCACTTAATATTAAAAATTCCATTTAAAAGTTAATAAAAGAAGAGAGAGAGAGAGAAAGAGAAAGAATAAAAACAATTTTTCTTAGTTAATTATTTTTAATTTTGTAGACAAATTTTTTTTCAAATAATTGTTGTCGGACAAATTAACTTCTTTAGCCTATTTGTCCGAATATGTTTGATTCATAAAAATAATAAATATTTAATTAAAATTAATATAAAAACACAGTTTGGAAAAATTAATAATTTTGAAATTACCGCGCTGTGCGCATAGGTTTCTGCGCATCGTTTCATAATTTGTCCCTTGAATTCCAGGTGGCGCATACTGCTTACATTTTTCTCTCACAAGCGCAGAATTTTTTTTTTTTTACTTAATTCAAGAAGGCGTATAGATTTTAATTTTCCAACTCCGCCAATAAACTAATAATAATATTTTTAATGTTTATTAATACAATTGAAAATTCTTCTCAATAAAAAAAAAAAATAATTATTCATTTCTCCAAATAAAATTTTTTTTTTCAAATTTTGTTTTAGACTATCTTTTAAAATTCATATTTGTATAAATATAAATTGTGTAAATATAACTGAAATATGTATTCTCAATTTGCATTTCAACGTATATATATAACCCTTTGAAACGATTTAATATTTTGAATTATTCTATGGAGGGTTTTATGAGTTATGATTTGACCATGATGTTTTATCTACCACCGCAGTATTCGAAAATGCACACGTGATAATATGCTAATTCACAAAAGATCAATTCAACAGTGTCGCCGATTCTATCAGATGACCAAAGTTCCTACCTCTGATATAACGCAATTCAGCCATCAGCTCTAGAGAAGCATTTAACATGGTAATGACTTGACATAAGCACATTGCCATATATGATCCTCATGCTTTATATCAAGTGAATTTCAATTTGAGTGGGGAAAATCCACTCTCAAAGCCAGAACCTCCCTCTCCCTCGCTCTGTCTCTCATATTAGAGGCAAATTTCCTTTCTTAGACACTTATACATTTATCATGACAAATGTAATCAATTTTCTCTATTTAATTTACATTTTCCTGATATCAAAACCGTTTAGATGTTAATTAACTAACAACTTGAAAGATTAATTAAACAATTAATTTCTATGTAAAAAATTAAAATTGTATTGTTTAAAAAAAATTGTTACCAAAAAAAAACTATAATTAATTAATAAATATTAATATTAATAATTAATTAATATAATTAACTTATTTTAAGAACTTTCTCCAAACTAAAAATTGCACTAATTATAAATATAAATTATAAATAATAAATGTAATAATAAATATAATTATAATATATAATATATATAATAATAATAATAATAATAATAATATAATAATATATATAATATATTATAATATATATAATTATAATTATAAATATTATTAATATATAATTTATTATTAAATTTATACTGAATATAAAATATTAAATATAATATATTAATATAAAAAAGTGTATTGCAAAATTTACACTCTGTATATTAAAATTAACATGACAATGCTACGCTTGTGAGAGAAAAATTTATGCGCCGCCTGGAATCGAAAGGATGAATTTTTAAACGATGCGCATAAACCTATGCGCACTGAGCGGTAATTTTAAAAATATTAAAATTAAATTAAATTGTTTTTGAATGACAAAGTATACACTATTAATTCTTATGATATCGTTTAGTAAATTTTACCACATTTTACATTTTATTTATTCTTTATTTTATTATTTAATCTTTTTTGTAAACTAAATATAATACGTTATTAAATCTATCTTAAAAAATCATTTTTACTCAAGTATTTGTATCTTTTTGACATTATTATTTTTTTATTAATTTATAAAATAGATATAAATATAAATAAATATATATAAATATAAATATAAATAAATATAAAATAAATGTAAGTCAGTATGACATAAATTGGGCATAAATAACTTTATAATAAGAGTGTGAAACAATTATCGAAATCATTTTAGTTCCCTATTGTTATCTTAATAGCAAATTACAAGTTGCCATTAATAATTCTTTCTGCTTGATTACTTATTGTTGTGATTTATTAATTATTGATAATTGAAATTCTAAAATAAGAGCATGATTATTATTATTTTTATTATTATAAAAAAAAATTATCATCACTATTGAAAGGTTATAAAAAAATTATTTTTATCGCTAAGGTGGAAATAAACAAAGTACTTTCTAAACAAAAATTTCAACTTTTCTCTCTAGGATAAAAAAAAATATAATTTTCCAATCGTTAAAAACGATTATAAAAAGAGGTCAATTTTCTTCTTAGGATTTAAAGATTGTAATTTTACTCTCGCAGTTAAGAACAATTTTTGATAAAATTTTAAGATTTTTAATTAAATAAATTACTCCAATTAATAAATAAAATTAATATTATTAATTTATTTTTTAATTATTGTTAATTATATCACTATTATAACAATTAAATTATTAATAATTAGGTTACTGCTATCAGTTAAATTATTATTAATCAAGTTACTGCTATTAATTAAATTGTAATTTATTTATAGAATCATATTATTTCCCAAGGGTCAAAAAAAGACATTTTACTCCCCAATATCAAAAAAATAATTTCAAACTTAAGATTTATTTTATTATTATTTCCTTAGGGTAAATAGAAGACATTTTAGTCCCTAGTGTCAAAAAAACATTTTAAACTTTAGAAACTTACCCACTATGTATATTTTTATTAAAATTATTATTAATTGGATAATATTATTTCCTTAGGGTAAAAAGAAGTCATTTTACTCCCTAGCATAAAAAAAATCATTTTAAACATTAGAAATTTACCCAATATGTATATTTTTGTTTAAATTATTATTAACTCGATAATATTATTTCCCTAGGGTAAAAAAAAGATATTTTACTCCCTAGTGTAAAAAAAAATAATTTTAAACTTTAGAAACTTACCCAATATGTCTATTTCGAAGTTTTAGAGTGTCCGATTTGGACATTTGCTCTATAGTTTCTGTCATTTTTGAAAAATTCACTGTCTCACTTTCAATCTGAAAGAAAATGAAACAAAACACTTTAAGTTAGTGTAAAAAAAATATATTTAATAATAATTTTTAAAATAAATGATAAATAAATAATAATTTTATTTCCTTTCTTATTGAAATTTATTAAGATATTAAATACTGAAATTTACAACAACAAAAAAAAAAAAGGAACACAAATATTTTTTCTCCTTACACCTTATTAATTAATTTTATAAATTATTAATTTATCCATTGATAACAATAAATTTATCGATTCATTACAAATATTGTAATTGTCGCTTTCGGTAAATTAACATTTAATCTTTTTATTGTAATAAAATTCACTCCTGTAAATATTAAAATTTAAATTTTATACCTTTTTTTAAAACAACAAAATTCAAATATAATTTTACAATTTTCATAAATAATTAAATATTGTTTTAATAATATTATATTATATTATATTATATTATATTATATTATATTATATTATATTATATTATATTATATTATATTATATTATATTATATTATATTATATTATATTATATTATATTATATTATATTATATTATATTATATTATATTATATTATATTATATTATATTATATTATATTTTTCTTGAAAGTATAAAATTTTTTTTAATTTATTAAAATTTGATTCTCGGATTTAATTAATTGTGAGAAAGTTAATATATATGTGTCAATAAATAAGAGAAAAATTTCCATTCTATTTTAATCGTTACTAATGTTATATACATGAACGATTAATTGATACGCTCCCCCTTAATAGACATTAAAACTTCCAGCGTGTGAAACATCACACAGAAAGCCCATTTTCGATTAAATGCTAAAATACGATAAACCTTGATTAAGTGATAGGCATGTGTATTTTAAAGGTAATAGTCTACGCCATATACGCAAATTTAATTCCCCTTAGGCAATATGCGCGTTTCCTGCAATATCAAATAATTATTATCATTTTAATAATTTATCAATCAACATTATTAATTCGGCATAATTATCTGCATATAATGAAAATAATGTGAATTTTCATATATAAATAATATTTAAATTTAATTAGTTGTTTTATTATATATTATATTTTAAATTTAAAAAATTTTCAAGAATTTTAAAATACATATTTTTTAATATTTTTTGTAAATTTTAATTTTTATAACAAATATATTTATTATTAAATAAATGGAAATTATTTGCTTTGAAAACGTATTTTATTTTATTAGAGTCTACTTTTGAATTAAGTATTACTTCAGAGTAAACGAAATAAGCATTTACGAACTAAACACAGTTCTAAATTTCATAACTTGTAATATTAGCTGCGTGCATAAACATTTTTTTTTTTCATATACAGTTTCGAATTTCTTGGCAATGAAAAGAGACATTCACACCAAGCACTATTTTTATGACATTAAAGGAAAGAATTTTTGAAGGAGGAGAGAAAGGAAAATTTTAAATACAAAAGAAGAAATATTAAAATATTGGGAAAAATTGTGGAGCAAAAGAAAAAGTTTTAAATCTTAGAACAAATTTCAAAATATTAAAGAGAATTTTAAAGCAGAAGAAACAATTTTTAAAGTAAAAGCCATAGAAAACAATATTAAGGCAAAGGACAAAAATTTAAAACAAGAAAAAAGAAATTTTAAATAGAAGAGAAATTTTCCTAATACTAAAAGGAATTTAAAAAAACAAAACTGAAGAAAAATATTTACGGTGGTAAAAAGGATTTCTAAGAAGAGAAATAAATTTTAAAGCAGAAAAATAAATTTTAAATGAATTTTAATGTTTTAAACGAGATTTTAAAGAAAAGGAATAAATTTTAAAGCAGAAGAATAAATTTTAAGCATAACAAGAAATTTTAAAGCAAAATATTTAATTTTAAAGCAAAACAAAAAATTTAAGCAAAAAATAAAAATTTAAACAAAAGAATATATTTTAAACTAGAAAATTTAATTTTTGATTAAAATAGGAAAATTTAAAGCAAAAGATTTAATTTAAAAGTGAAATAAGAAATTTTAAAGAAAATGAAAAAAATTCAAAACAGAAGAAAAAAGAAATTTTAATCCGAAAAAAGAATTTTAAAGAATAATAAATTAATTTCAACTTGAAGAACAAACTTTAAAGTAAGAAATGAAAATTTGTAAGCAGAGGAATAAATTTTAAAGCAGAAGAGTGAATTTTAACGACAAAAATAAATTTAATAGCAAACTGATAAAATTTAAAAGAAAAAAACAAAAAGAGGTAAGGTAAGGAGGCATTTTAAATCGGAAGAAAAAATTTCGTAGAAGAATTTCAAAGAAGAGCAATTAAGCAAAACTAGAAATTTTAAAGCAGAAGATTTAATACTAAAGAGAAATTAGAAATTTTAAGACAAAAGAAAAAAAATTTAAAGCACATGTAATAAAAAATTTCAAACTGGAAAAAGAATTTTAAACTACAAAAAGGGATTTTAAAGAAGAGAAATAAATTTTAAAGAAGAATAAATAATTTAAGCATAACAAGAAACTTTAAAACAAAAAAGTTGAAATTTTAAAGCATAAGACAAAAATTTCAAGCAGAAGAAAGAAGAAATTTCATGCCCAAAAAAAATTTTATAGTAATAATTGCAATTTCAATGCTGAAGAATAATTTTTAAAGAAGAAAAACAAATTTTTAAGAAGAAAATTTAAATTTAAAGGAAAATAAGAAATTTTAAAGAGAATGACAAAAATTTAAAGCAGAAGAAAGAAGAAATTACAAACTAAAACAAGAATTTTAAAGTTCTAAAAGTAATTTTAGAGAACAGGAATAAATTTAAATGTAGAAGAAAAATTTTTAAGCATAATGACAAATTTTAAAGCAAAACATGAAATTTTAAAGTATAAGACAAAAATTTAAAGCAGAAGAAAGAAAAAATTTCAACTAGAAGAACAAAATTTCAAGTAAAAAATAAAAATTTCTAAGCAGGGTTATAAATTTTAAGCATAAAAGAAATTTTAAAGCAAAAAATGAAATTTTAAAGCATAAGATAAAAATTTCTAAGCAGGGAAATAAATTTTAATCATAAATGAAATTTTAAAGCATAAGACAAAAATTTTAAAGCAAAAAATGAAATTTTAAAGCATGAAACAAAAATTTAAAGCAGAAGAAAGAAGAAATTTTAACTAGAAGAACAAACTTTAAAGTAAAAAAATAGACATTTCTAAGCATGGGAATAAATTTTAAGCATAAAAGAAATTTTAAAGCAAAAAATGATATTTTAAAGCATAATACAAAAATTCTATACCTAAAATTGAAATTATAAAGCATAAGTCAAAAATTTTAAAGCATAAGACCAAAATTTTAAAGCATGAAACAAAAATTTAAAGCAGAAGAAAGAAGAATTCTTCAACGAGAAGAAACTTTTAAGTAAAAAATAAAAATTCTTAGCAGGGGAATAAATTTCAAAGCAGAAAAATAAATTTTAATCATAAAAGAAATTTTCAATGCAATCTGATAAAAATTTGAAGCATAAAGACAAAAATTTAAGGCAGACAAAAGAAGAAATTTCAAAATGGAAGAAAAAGTTTCATTGTACTAAAAAAATTTTCAAAGAAAAGTCCTTAAAAGAAATACCAAAATTAAAGAAAAGAGAATAAATTTCAAGCAAAATCAGAAATTTCAACTAGAAGAACAAATTCTTAAAAAAATTAAGAAATTTTAAGGCAATTTTGAAGTATAGAAAATACAAATTTTAACCAAAAAATTGAAGAAAGCAACTCACGTTAAAAATTTCTGATAAATGAACAAAAATAAAGACATCAACTGAAGAAAAATTCCATTACCATTATCTTTGACGAAAAGTGCAAGAGATTAACATGAAAAAAAAATATTGACTGTTAGTGATATTGATATTGTTGAATGAACGAAGGGAAATAAGAGAGAAGGGATGAAGAGAGAGAGAGAGAGAGAGAGAGAGAGAGAGAGAGAGAGAGAGAGAGAGAGAGAAATCAGCAAGAAGGATCTGTATAGTGAAAGTGATAGTAGAGTGTCATACCTGATTGAAAAGACGGAAGTCGGCTGATCCTCGACTTGTGAATGCAGTTGTCAACTATGTGTCGCGACCTACTCCAGTGACGTCATTTATAAAGCCTCTAAGTAAGCGAAAAAAAGCGGGGAGTTGCGCGCGCACCACCAAAGTCTTTATATTCCGCAAATCCATCCCCCCCCCTCCTTGAAAAGCTCTCATCTATACTAAACCCATCATCATTTAACACTCATTAAAATTTATTGATCTAATAGATTTTTTTTAATGAAAAAAAGATAATATTTTACCCATTCTCATCATTGTGTAAATAAAAGAGAATTTTTATTTCAATTTTTCGTCTTCTATCAACGAGATTGATTATTTACACTTGGCGCCTCATGAAGGTTACCTAATTAATTCCACTCTCTTGAAAATGCTTGAAAATATAGTGGAATAGAATCAATAATATAAAGATAGTGGCATTAATATCAGAAGGTCTTAAAATTTTATTTACAATAAGAGTTAACTTTTTACAATAAGAGTTAATATTTTGCAAAAAAATTTTTTTTTAAAGAAGTTATTAATTTTTTTTTGTTTTGTAATTTTCATTCTAATTAGGGTTTAAATTTCTTCTGATGAATGTCGTATGGCTTTGTTTTATTTTTTTATCGAGGAGTATCAGCTGTCGTAAAGTTTCCATTACATTCAGTGATATCAATGAAAATTACATTCCATAAGATTGTAAATTTTTCCATTACACATGTATGATATATATTGAGACACAAATGGAAAGGGTGACTATTTTTGCATTCATTGATTGTTTCTGTCAGAATAAAAGCTATATGCAGAGTCATTTATTTGTTTTAGAGTTTTTACGTGACATTGTTTATAAATATTAACTTTTTTGAAAACAATCTGAAAAAATTTATAATTTACTACATTGTTTTCTTGTTTTTTTCAGAATTCATTTTATTTTATCTTCTTTTTGATCTTTTTCTATTTCTTCTTGTTCTTTATTTTGTTCTTTTTCTATTTCTTCTTGTTCTTCATTTTGTTCTTTTTCTATTTCTTCTTTTTATTCTAATTCTATGTATTCTTATTGTTGGTTGTCTTCTTCTTCATATTCACCTTCACACTCTTCTTCTTCTTGTTCTTTTATTCTAGTTCTTTTTTTGGCTTCTTCCTTTTTCTTCTAGATTTGCTTTTTGTTATTCTTCTTGTTTTTGTTTCATTTTTTGCTCTTCTCCATGTACTAATTTTTGTTTTTCTTATTCATATTTCACTTCTTCTTCTTCTATATTTTGTTATTCTTCTTTTTCTTATACCTGTTAGAATTCTTCTTCTCTGTTTGTTCTTCCTCTTCTTTTAATTCTTGCTATTCTTCTTGTTCCTGTTCCACTTCTTGCTCTTCCTTCTATCCTAATTTTTGTTATTCTTCTTGTTCTTGTTCCTGCCTCATTTCTTGTTCTTTTCTTTGTTCTTCCTTTGGTCCTAACTCTTGTTATTTTTGTTCTTCCACCTTTTCTAATTCTTGTTATTCTTCTTGTTCTTGTTCCACTTTTTGTTTTCTTCATTCTGTCCTGATTCTTGATCTAATTTTTGTTGTTGTTGTTCCTTTTTCACTTCTTGTCCTTCTTTATTGTTTTCTTCCTTTAATCTTGATTTTAATTACTCTTCTTTTTGTATCTGTCTCATTTCTTTGTTTTTTTCTTGTTCTTGTTATTGTTCTTTCATTGATCCTGATTCTTGTTCTTGTACATGTTTGATATTTTTCCTTTTCTTGTTGCACTTTTTTTCTGTTTACTCTTCCTCTTGTTCTTGTTCTTGTTCTTGTTCTTGTTCCTGTTCTTGTTCTTGTTCTTGTTCTTGTTCTTGTTCTTGTTCTTGTTCTTGTTCTTGTTCTTGTTCTTGTTCTTGTTCTTGTTCTTGTTCTTGTTCTTTTTCTTTTTCTTTTTCTTGTTCTTTTTCTTGTTCTTTTTCTTTTTCTTGTTCTTGTTCTTGTTCTTGTTCTTGTTCTTGTTCTTGTTCTTGTTCTTGTTCTTGTTCTTGTTCTTGTTCTTGTTCTTGTTCTTGTTCTTGTTCTTGTTCTTGTTCTTGTTCTTGTTCCTGTTCTTTTTCTTGTTCTTTTTCTTTTTCTTTTTCTTGTTCTTGTTCTTGTTCTTGTTCTTGTTCTTGTTCTTGTTCTTGTTCTTGTTCTTGTTCTTGTTCTTGTTCTTGTTCTTGTTCTTGTTCTTGTTCTTGTTCTTGTTCTTGTTCTTGTTCTTGTTCTTGTTCTTGTTCTTGTTCTTGTTCTTGTTCTTGTTCTTGTTCTTGTTCTTGTTCTTGTTCTTGTTCTTGTTCTTGTTCTTGTTCTTGTTCTTGTTCTTGTTCTTGTTCTTGTTCTTGTTCTTGTTCTTGTTCTTGTTCTTGTTCTTGTTCCACCATTTATTTTTAGCTTATTAACTTTTTTATTAATTTATTTTTTTGTACTAATCAAATAAATATTTTATACCGAGAAAAATATTCCAGTGTACCACTAAATGAAATAAAGGAAAAAATCCAGTTCAAAATTTAGAAGCGTTAACAATTCATTCAACCAATTATTTCAAGAACGAAATAATTCTGTGGGTCAATAAATAATAATTAAATTAACCTTTCGAGTTTGAATAGACACGAAATTTCAATTTAGTGGTACATTATTAAATATATATATGTGAAATGTTTAATTTGAAATTCTAAATACTATATTATAGAGTCTATTAATAATTCGATATGTTAATCAAAATTTTATTATTTTTTCTTTTATCAAAAACTGATGCGTAAAAAATATATCTTGAAATATTTTCTAATAGAAAAATTAAAAATTTCCTAGAAAACATTTCATAATATATTTAAAAATTATTAATACAATATTTATTATTACATTTTTATATTAATTTATAATAATTTTAATATAAATATAAACAACTAAATGAAAATTATAAAAAAATTCATTTCGCAACTGAAAAAAAAAATGTATTGAACTAAACACGTTCCGATAACTTATGCAAGAATTAAACGTTATCTGCCACTCGAGTAATTGTGCAAGTTTATAAATAACGATAGTATAGATGCAATTTTATTTTTTATTGTAATATACTCACTAAATGGAAAAAAAATTTTACGTCTTGTTTTCTTTTTTTTTCGAAATTTTTAAAAAACTGGTTCCAAATAAAACAAAAATGATAAAACATTATATTCGTGAAAATAATTTATTATTATCATTATTTTAATTATAAAATCTTTATTGATTAGAAGATGATAGTCACGTGAAAAAGATTTGCACCACATGTGATTAATGGTTGTAATCACTATAATAGTCACGTGACTGAAATTTTCTCTCTAAACAATTTCCATTAGATTGATAAAGGACGCAATAATTTCCAGAGATCCACGTGCGTGAAATTGTCCATACACACTTTAATTTATTAATCAATATTGTCTCAAGAAAATATCAAAGAAATTATTATATCTATATAGATATAAACACACATTTTATTGTCAGCTTTTGTGTACTTTATTCAGTATTTAATCAAATAATGACAATATATTGGAATCTTTTTTTCATCGTATCAAAAAAAAAAGAAACTTAATTATATTGATTTTAATCGTAAATTAAAAAATACGAAATTAAATCGATTATATTATGATGAGTGCTTGAAATAACTTTTAAGTATTTAATTCGAATTTTTCTTTTTTTGGCATTTTAGAGTCAATGAATTGTAATTTTATCGTTCAAGTTATCCTCGAGGTTTATCGGCATAAAAAAATTGAAAAAAGGTGAAAAAGACACATTATCTCAAAAACAATATTTAGTCTCTTTATTTTGAGTTTTTAATAAATCAATTAAATTTTGTAATGAGCATTATTAACGTCATATTCTACATAAATCCATTAATAACGTCACTAAAAACGTAAAAAGACATGTAGATATATATGTGTAAAGAAATATTTACAAAACAATGTACACTTGGATGGTAAATAAATCTACTATTTTTAGCACTTCACTAAACAGATTCAGAATTATAATTTCCGCGGAATTAATTAATTGTAACTGATTTTTTTTTTTTTATGGGTATTTTAGATTTATTTCTGACTCATTTTAGTTTGTTAATTGAACTAAATCCGAATTAATATAGCTATCGAGAAAATAAAAAATAAACAATTTTTTTTAATTTCCTGATTTAAATTTTTAATTTTGGCATCGAGAGTGTAATTATTTTGTAATTCGCCTTTGATTTTCCCTTTGAATTTGACTTTCAAAGTGAAAATAAATTTCAAAGTGAAAGTTAAAGTTAAAAGTAAAAAAACTAATATAATCAGAATTAACAAAAAAAAAATTGGCCACCAATTTAAATTAGTAAAACTGTTTACTAATTTTTAGTAAAACTTAACTATTGCCTTTAGAGATAAGAAATTCTAACAATTTTCTCTTTTAGTGAAAAATTACTAAAATTAGTAGAAATTTTGACTAATTATGGTTAATAAATGAAAAATAAATTAGTTGACGACTGATACATATTTAAAAAATTATAAAATAAATAAAATTGTGAGTTAAAAAAAATTTATAAAATTAAAAAAATTGTGAGTGAAAAAAATTTATAAAATAAAAATAACAGAAATGTTTAAAAAAATTTAACTTTCAAAAATTTTAATGAAAATTTACTATAAAATTTTTTTAATAATAACAATAGTAATAATAATGAAATAATAATTAATAAAAGATTATAATCAAAATAAATTAAAATAATTTGAATTTATTTGAAAAATTTTATCATTTTTCCTAACATTAAAATTTTTTTTGTAATTATATTTTCTTGCTGTTGTGTATAAATTACTAATTGTACGCTTCTTAGTGGCTTTACGAAGACTAATCGCAAGTTTGATTATTCCATATCGGATTCACGTGCCATAGATAATACAATGCAATAAGCACGTTTCATATATGTCACGTTTTCCTAATACCTCTTTAGGATAAATATCTATAATATCATCTCGATTTGTTAACTAGGAAAATCGCGTCTTAAAGCATAAAAACTTCATAAAAATTACATAATAATTGTTCGTTTACAATAAACAAAAAAATTATTCAAAATTTATTAATATTTTTCTTTTTTATTCATTTATTTATAACAATAAAAATAAAATAAAACTTATTAATAATA